TTACTTTGGATAACGACGCTAGCGGTATTATGTCAAAGTTGAATTTCACTCCAAACCAGTTCATTCAAGATTGTAGTCATTTATTGAGTTCGGATCAATTTAATCCGGTTAAATTATAGGATAGCAGAGGACTTCATCTGATCGAAATCATCCTAGTTCGTGGTCAGTGCGATGGAGATATTATTTTTAATCGGAATCACCTATAATTTTAGAATTGTGTTGCATACTATCATGCTCAGTATTTTTATCGCAAAGATGATATTTGTCGACTCAAAAGATGATGGATGACGATTGTATTTTTATTTGAACAAAGTCCTAGATATATTATAATTATTTCAAAAATCAGTATCTTATGTTTATTTCCATTTTATCAGAATAAATGGATATGATTATGAGCATGGAGAAACTTGAAACTGTACCAAATGCCATCCCAACCAAGAGCTGTAGTGAAACAACATATTATGTGTTATCTAAAAACTTTGATTCAAAATAATGATGTATTGAAAACTATGTAGCAATAATCCAGGGGTACACTGTATATTACACGGTAAGAGAAATTATTTTGAAAAATAATTTCAAGTCACAGGAGCAATTTAATATTTCAGTAATATTTCAAGTTTTGGTTCAGTTGAAAGGTTTTTCTGTTAAGTGCTGTTTACCATTAGTCCTGGATATTTTTTTAATATTCCAGGGTGTCGGTGGTAATTTTGATATTGATATTTCATTATAATTTAATAACTGTAATTTCTGGCAATTTTTTGTTGATTAGTTTCATGCTTTTTTACTCCATAGCATAAGCAGCATTGCATATATACTTTCAAATCATAGATGATCAGTATGACAGTGATGCTGGATATATTTGCAGAATTAGCCCGGAACAATTTCATCAAAGATACCGAGAAAAATAAGAATAATGAATGTTTACTTCAATTAATCCAATTCAAAAATTATTATTTTAAATATGTTTTAACTCTGTGCACTCATAAAAATAGTATAAATTAAATTATCAGATTTCCTTTAATCCATGTGAGAATTTTTAAGTAAACTGTCCTCAGTTTACATTGAAGAAGATTTTAAGCTTTATGTATATTTTCAACTTTTCCAGGTGAATTATTTAAAAAAATAAGGATTCGATACATTACAGAAATGAATGCGATCCTTTTGGATGCTGTAACTTTATTATTATTTTACTTTTGTAGGGAAATTTATACGAATCTGTATAAAGTGAAACTCGATAAAACAATAAACATAATTAGTCTACTTCGATAATAAAAATTAATATGTTTTATATACAAATAAAATCGCGCTGACAAATAACTTGAATATAAACATTGCATAATACCTCAGCAAATGTTAATTTTTCGATGGTCCATTTATTCAAAACTTTATTATTACCATCATTTTCGTAATACAAGTGAAAAAAGTAAAGGAATTTTTCTCAATAGTGATTTCATCTTCCCACTAAACTTTTTAACGAAATGTCTACTTGTAATATCTAATTCAAAAATTCATAAAAGGTAAGGTGTAAGGTTTATCCCATCAAAGTGAACAGGAATGAAAAAATATCCGAATCATTGGAGGGAAAATCAAAACGGAGAAATAATTTCAAATACCCTTTGATAATTGTAGGTATTCGTTTCAGAAAAGTCCCAGAGAATCCCAGAAAATCTTGGGGCATAAACTCTGAGATTGCCTGCCAGTGTTTCAGGGGTGAAATTTCGCTGCCAACTTTGTTCGGGGTATATTTGGCGCGCATGAACAACTTGGTACCGTCGCGAAATACATCACGAGAATAAATGACTAAAATGATGAAGTTATGAGAGAAAAAGTCGTTATTTACCGTGTAAACATTTTGCCAGGTTGTTATTCACTTAGAAGGATCACTCTAGTTCACACACATGGTCAAAATATAAGGAACCAGTACGCGCGATTCGTGGACACGTGAGTTTTCAAACACCAGAAATGTTGCGTAGTTGAAGTTACCGATACTTCGAGAGATGCACGGCAACTAACGTCGTATAAATGCCCTTCCTCTTATTCTGTGGTTGACCCCTTCTATCCAATACAGTATAGGTACTTCTTGTGCGATATTACAAATTTAATAACTGGACTGATAGTTATTAAATCAGAACAATTTTTTAAATACGTTATTTATCGTAAGGTGTAATTGTTTGTTTTGCTGTCGAACTTTTTGGAGTGGTGATGCTTCTGCAAATGATGGTAGCTTTGATACATTTTATAGCCAATTGAATATCTGAAATACTTTGAGTTCAGTGGAATGATACTAATATTTTCACTTTTGCAGGACCGATAACAGTTTTACATATTCTTTGAAATACATTTTTCACGGAAATATTATTTTTGATCTTCCACATAACGAAAATTAAATAAATCTATATCAACGGAAAATTTAAAATGTTAGTGCGTGAAATAAACGAGAGAAATATAGAGACTTATAAATTTCAAGAGAACTATAGAGACTTATAAATTTTCCCTTAAAAATGAGATAAATTTTTGGAAAAATTGAATGCATGTACTTAGCTTCTTCACAATGTTTCGGAAAGCAGTCTCTACCGGTTTTCAAAACCTAAAATCTTTGGCAATGAGCTTCTCTTCGTCACTGATTCTGAGAAAAATGTTTATGGAACATCTTGAGGAAACATACATCGAGAACTACCAGAATGGCCCAAAGATATTGCGTAGATAAAATGACGATGTAGGTATTCGAAATCTGCAACAATTACCCAGATGACATCAACTGGTTTAGAAGATTTGAACACAGGAAAACCATCGATGAAGAGATAGACATATAGAACGATGTTTTCAGTAAATATTCTTGATACAAGTGTTCAATATAAGAAAACTCACTATAATAATATAACAGTATATTTACTATTAGGTTGTTTCCAAAGTTTCGCCCGTTTATTGAATCTACTTTAAACTTTATTATCTCAGTGAATACTTGTTCAATTTAATCGAAATGAATGCCTTTCAATCAGAGCACTTTTGCCAACGTAACACAAGTCGATAAATTCTGGTATTAATTGGTTGTTCGGGATTTAATGAATTGACGAAGGCCGTTTTTGCCTGGTCCAGATTGGCGAAGGTTCTACCGGTGAGAAATTCATCGAAATGCTTAAGAAGATGCATGCATGGAGTATTGTTCTCATGTATGTAGCTCCGCCCCCAAACATACCCTGATTCAACTGAATTGTACTCTATAAGCGTTGCTTTTCATGCTTTCACAAGCAATGAGTAGATGATGGTATGCAAATCTGGCATCACTCAATTCGTAAAATTCTTCTTTCATTAGTCTAAATTCGGGGGCAACTCAGAAATTGACAGCGTAATTAGTTGAAAATGAGTGTGTGAAAAAATTTAAATCACTTACGAGGGTTTTATTTAGATGATTTTCACGAAAACTTTTTCATTGTTCACTCTTAGAAGTAGCCCCTTTCGTTATATAATAATAATTAATGTATTAATCACCAAAACATTACATGTTCATAGTAGGGACCATATAACATATACAATACCGCGCTTCAAATCAAGATACGCATTTAACAATGGCGTAATCAACAAAAAATCAGAGTGAAATACTTTGCATTAAATTTTTCAGTGATGTGGCATTGAAATGGGCTGCCATCAGTGAAATTCAAATCGAATGTTCTCTCTTTCTCTTCCTTTCAGTCAAAATATGTTTCAAGCCACATCTACAGCAGTTCTTTATATGTTTACAGATGGGAAATAAGGATAAGAGTGAAAGACTCAATAGAGCTATCGATAATATGGGAAGGAAAACTAGTGACTTGAGAAAAGCGTTGTTGATCGTGTTTCTGGCAGGTGAGAAACAATATTAGATTCAAATTCATGTCAACAATTAATCTGTCATCTGATATTAGTTTCATTTTGTATTTATGTACGTTATAATTTCAATTACTTGGAGACCAATGTACATTGTTGGTTCTCATAAAGGCTGCTCAAAATGGAAATGAAAAAGAAGTGGAGGAATATGCAGTTTTCTTCACTGAACTGTGTTAGCACAAACCTCCATTTTCAGTAAGGTATTGCAGGGAAAGTTTTCTCATGTCTCACAACTTCCAGAGTATTGGGAAAAACAAACTTTTATGTTCAGTTCACAAATTGAGTGGGCATACTCGGAGACTGGCTGTAAATCAAATTACCTAAAAGAACAATTCATTCAGACCAGTCTCAACTCCCTACACTGTAGGTTAATGTTCTAACGCCTATCAGAAAACAACTACTTCCCTGGCTAATACTACGAAAAACGTTGGTGTCAGTGCAGGATTCTTCACTGTCGGATATAATCCAATGCTCTTCGTGGTATTAGCCAAGGAAGTAGTTGTTTTCTGATAGGTGTCAGTTCATGAAACTGCTGTGTAGTTAAGGAAATACTGCCCTGAACGAATTGTTTTTTTAGATAATTTGTTTTATGTTCAGACCCCATTTAATAAGGAGTCAAACAGAAAAAATACTGAAAAATGGAACCGGAACGATGCTATTACTCAAGGACACTCAAGGTAAAATTGATTTAAGACAAATAGATAAGGCAAATTGTAAAATCAATTTAAGACACTCAAGACGCAGATACCTAGAACAGGTATCTATGGTATAAATAAGGATACCTTTGTAAGTATGATTAGTTTGATCTTCATCTTGAAGATGATCACTTGGTGATCGAAACACGTGTCGAGGTGTTGAAATAAGGGTTTGGTGTTGGGAAAAAAAACTTCAGTAATATTCATTACAACACCAAAGGTTCCAAACAGTACATTCAAAATATTATAACCATCAATTTCATTTATACATAATGGTACAAAACTGGTTCTGATTGATTGCGATTAATTTTTCCAATATTTTAACTGAAGGTGCTGCCGATGCTTTACATACTTCAAATTGGAAAAATATTTTGAAGCACTCATTGAAAAACATAGAAACAGTTTTCATATTGGAAAATAAATTCAACGTATAAAACTTACCTCCTCCTACTCAGACTTCTGAAAAGTATGGAATTTAATAAATAAAAAAAACACAAAGTCTTGTGGTTTGGGTACACCATTACTGCTGAACGTTAGAAATATAGTGTCATTATTTTCCTTAACCATTTCTTTACAAATATAGCCTAATAATTCCGAAATCTAAACCAATCTTTTGAGTTTTACACTTTTATTCGCGTATTTGAATATGCTACAGAGCAGAAGAAAACTACCAGAATGAATAGTTCGGTTGATACAAACCAGATGGCAGATATTCCAATAAACATAGGGAAATATTTCTACCGATGGTGGCGCCACTCAAACTGTGAAAGTAGTGTTTTTGGTGCAAATATTACAGACGTGGGAAACTAATGAATAAGTGAAATATTACGATCACGAGCAGCTCAAGAAACTACAATACGTCAAAACAGCCGACAGGAATTTCTTTTACCATCTGACTTAGTTCTAATATGTCCGATAGAACATGTATCTGGGCGATGAATTTCACAAACCGCTAAATAAAGATTTGAATGTTACTGGAGTTTAGTCCCAACACCAAACCGTTATTTTCAACACCTCGACACCTGTCGATGTGTTAAAAATAACTGTTATGTGTTGGGGATAATCTTCAGTAATATAAATTACTACACAAAAGGTATAGTGGTTTCATGAACATGAGGATTTTTGCAGCCTTCTGAACTTATTCTTGATCTACAAAATATCAAAGTGATTTTCGCAAAAAATAAATAACAATTGAAATTTTACCTGAAAGTAAATGTATTCCACTTTAATGCATTTCAAAAATTCTCATCATTCTCTACTTTTTTGATACTTTTACCTTTTTCACTAAATGATATTGAAGTTGGTTATTTTGATAACAAGGGTTGAATAATTATGAACTTCCCTCTGTTTTATTTCAAGGTGACGCAAGTCGGATATCTCCATTCGATTTTTATCAAACCTAAGGAATGTAAATACTTGAATTTAGGTAGAGAATATTACATCGTATGAAAATAATAGCTATATTATGACATCGTCAATGATGCTTATTCTAAGAGATATTTCTTTATTCAGATATGATTTTAAAGACACTTGTATAGATAAGGTATTGGTATTGTTTATTCTACTGATAGTTCAGATGATTATTTTGCATAATTATTGTTTCCTTTTAGACATATCGACAGGAATGTTATTCGAAGATTATGAAACAACTTTATTTTGAAGTGGGTGACTTGTAGGTATTTCAAGGGGAAACAATGTTTATAAAAAAAAATAAATGAATTTCACCTGGTTAATGTCCGAATTCTTGTAAACTGTAAAAAATATACAAGAATTTAAAATTTTGTCAGGGTAGTGGGAATTTAAATGAATGTAATACAGAAAAAACTTGGCACCGTGTCATACTTCGAAAACAGTTTTTGTTTCATATAAGTATTTGGATTCAACTGATAGTCATTATTTCAAATCACCATCGAAACATGAATTACATTTTTGGGAAAAAGCCTTTTGGCAACTACTAGTCCATCAATATAAAGAAAGTGAGAAACTCTCTGAAGAAAGGAAGAAAAAGGATAAATACATCAATAAAATATTTTTATGAAGGTGTATAATAGGTCATATAGAACTTTTTTTCAGATACAAACTGAAACGAACAATCTCTCTGAAATAACTACTTTCAAATATATGAACAAATAATTACATAGAAATAACTCTTTTCTACTTCAGTTTGTACCTACTCAATACATTCATAGTGGAATCGAAACAGATTTTGTACATAGGAAAGGTGCACAATGTAATATATAAAGGATATAAATTGATGGATGTAGCCGTTACTACGTGGTAGGAAATCAGAATGAAGAAAAGATAATTGAAACTTTCTATGTTTGATAAAAAACATAAAAAGTTTCAATTCTTTTTTCTTCATTATGAAGGATAAATATATAAAATTTCAATTACGAGGAAAACTCTCAATCTCCAAGTGTACTTCAAAGTTTCGGATGATATAGTGTGTAACTCATCAGTAACTTTTTGGATAACTTTGAAAGACTATTCACTCAATCTGTTTATGATCTACCATCTGTGTAAAGAGTTTTTATTAATGTATTTAATTCTTTTCCCAAATGGACTACAGTATGGCAATGCATTAATTTTTTTTTAGCGAATTGAAAAAGTTATCTGAAGAGAGTCTCACCCGCCAACCAGAAGAAGTCTTCGATTTAATATGCAAACTAGGTGAGGGATCGTATGGGAGTGTTTACAAAGCACTCCACAAAGAATCTGGACAAGTATTAGCAATCAAACAAGTACCTGTAGACACAGATCTTCAAGAAATTATAAAAGAAATCTCAATAATGCAGCAATGTGACAGTCCATTCGTAGTGAAGTATTATGGTAGCTACTTCAAAAACACAGATCTTTGGATTGTCATGGAGTTCTGTGGAGCTGGATCTGTATCTGACATAATGAGATTACGTAAAAAGACTTTGACTGAAGATGAAATTGCAACAATTTTATCTGATACTTTAAAAGGTTTAGAATATTTACATTTGAGGAGAAAAATACATAGAGATATCAAAGCAGGAAACATTCTGTTGAGTTCTGAGGGGCATGCCAAATTAGCTGATTTTGGTGTGGCTGGACAACTGACTGATACCATGGCCAAAAGAAATACTGTGATTGGTGAGTCAGAAGTGATATGTTACTGTTTTTTATCAATCTTTTTTTATTTTAACCTTCCACAATCTGAAAACAATAACAATTGTAAACTTTATATATGTGTACAAAGTTTTCCATTACATTTTTTTTTATATTGTTGAAGGTGAAAATCCTCAAAAATTAAGGTGGGATTATCTCCGTGTTATTCATATAGTCAATGGTATTTATTGAATAAAAAGTGTCTGTTGACTTCAAAATAAAGGCATGAGAACCATTGTACAATGTCATAGATATACGCCAATTAATATAATGCAATTAATGTAATGAGATGTACAGTCCACTATTCATATTCAAATTGGTGAAAATGTTAATGGTATAGCCCAATGCCTCCTTTTTCAAAATTCGTTCACTTCTTGGAAAATCCATGTAATTGAACACTGAATTGTTAAAGTTTCAAAAATCACTTATTATTCCAGGGACTCCGTTTTGGATGGCGCCTGAAGTAATACAGGAGATAGGTTACGATTGTGTCGCTGACATTTGGAGTCTTGGAATAACTGCTTTAGAAATGGCTGAGGGAAAACCACCTTATGGTGACATTCATCCAATGCGCGCCATTTTCATGATACCTACTAAACCGCCACCTTCGTTCAGAGAACCGGATCGATGGAGTAATGAGTTCACAGATTTTGTTAGTATTTGTCTAGTAAAAAATCCTGAGGAACGTGCTACGGCAACAGATCTTTTGTCACATCCTTTTCTAGGTAAGAAAATATATTCAATATAAATAGAAAACCAAAATAGCTGAATAATTATTTATGAAAGTCGAATGTGGTTATAATAACAAAATTCAAACAAGCACCTAAAATATTGCAAGATGTTCATATATATGTTTATTCCCAATTAAAATGTGGACAGTCCATTGATGTACAATTCACATCCATTTGTTAGGTATTGTTGGATATTCAGTGTGCTTGATTAAATAATTAGAATACAATTGAGCGTCACATGAAAACATATGGAAGTTGAAAAAGTTCTTTGAAGGAACCAAGGAGGATTCTATTTATGTGATGAGTTATATGAACTTGTTCATATTATAGTTGAACATCTGAGAACCTTATCGACATTTATTTCGTTTCCTAGTGTATTTTTACCTGAACTGGAAATGAATTGGATATCCATATAATATTATTTTTGTCTGAATTTTAACGTTTGTTCTTTGCATGGTGTCAGTAAAGATTATTTATGGAAATTATTTCATAAATAAGATTGTTCTATTTCATGATATTTCAGGAAATTCCAAAACGCCAAGTATATTAATAAGCATGATTCAAGAAGCTCATGATATTCGAGAGAATCAAACATATAAAAATGTGAATTGTGTTGCGAACATACAAGAGTTGCATAAAAATATAACGGAAGAATCTGTAAGTATTGTTAATTTCTCCTGTTAGTTTTCTAAAAATCTCATTTTCATGAGAAGTAGAACTTGACTTCTGGCGCAGAATAAATAAAAAATAAACAGTTATCCCAAACATCAGAATTGCAACACTTCTCTCGGTCTTTTTCATCACCTGAAGACGCCAACTTGGTTGGTGAAAATCGCGTCGAGAGATAGTTGCAGTTCTGTTGTTTGGGAGAAGTGCTTGTTTTGGACTCATTGTTACATTCAACACTCAATAAATGTAAGCCTTCATGGCCGATAATAACTGTTTCATTTCTTTTGTATTAATTGGCCTGCAGGTAGCTAGGGTTCATTAATGTTGATTTCCTCTTCATTCCGGTTGATAATTATTTGTTTAACAGTCTAATACACTGGGTACATGTACTAAATCATCATGAAAAACAAACAAAAAACAGCATCACAAAGAAAGTAGGTCAATGACATCTCCCCTCAAGAAGTCAACTGTGGGATCGACAGAGAACTAAATCCAAACCAATGTTCCGGATGAAAGAAATAAAATGAAACATTTGTGGAATCTATAAATTATGCTGATTACTCTAATTTTAGGATGATGATGTGGCCTTGGGAAACAAAACTATGGTTCAGTGCTATGAAGGTACATTAGTTCCCGATAAGGGAGGTACCCTAGTTGCAACTTCTCCAAGTGGCACCATGGTGGATTTGGAATCTGAGTTAGGTACTATGGTTATCAACAGTGACGTAGACGATCAAACTATGAAAAGTAAATTGATTTTTATGATTTATATAATTTACATCAACATAATGATTTCTGTCTTCCAGGGCATGACACAGGAACGGCACCAGGAGGCAAAAAATACAGACCAATGTTTTTGGATCATTTTGATAAGAAAGAATCTCCAGCCAAGGTAAAAGTTCAAAATTTATATCAAATGTAATTTTGTATCAGGCTGATTCAAAACCAAAATAATTTTAATCGCTAGCAATNTATATCAGCCAGACCAACAGACGAATATCGGCCAGAGCCCAGGAGCATAAAAATTCCATTGAAACAAAGAAAAATTTCTCTGCTCCCTTTCTATACCACCTACAGACAGGCCACACGATCAAGTTTGAGTCTACCAAACAAATAGCTCAAGTACAAAACCCAAAAATTCAACAAATTAAGGGGGCTATCGAAATCCATAATCGGGGATCAATCAACAACAGAGTTGATTCATTAAATATTTTGAAGAATCATAATTGAGAACAATAACAAGAAAAAATCAACCATAGATAATGAGCAGTCTATGGAGGTAAATGAGTTATCAGAAGTTATCCAACCACACAGATTTCAGATGTAAAAAGTTAGGTTCTAAAGCACTATAATTTACGCAAGGGGCAACAAATGAAAACATCACAAGAGTAATTAGAAATAAGTTACGTCTCACAAAGAACAAGCAATAACAAGTCTTGATAATGCCATCTAAGATGATGGTAAAATGTCGACCTTTAATAATAATAATGATAATAATAATGTTTATTTTTATTTGATACATACAGGTTTTGAAATTGTCAGTACACCTATACTAAAGTTCAAAAAATAAAATGGAATACAGATACATACATCAAGTTACAAAACACAAAGCAGATTAAAATTTGTTTTGGATTTAGGAGTTCTGTGTTATTCCGGGTGTATATCACAACGTTTCAGCAAGATCACACTTGCCATATTCATTGCTTTTCTTGGTAGCTGCTTCGTAGCTAAAGTTTCAAGTTCAGCTACCAAGCAAAGCTGATACATAATCAACCAATGTATTTCATCAGTTCGGATTTTCATTGTCTAATATAATATAAATTGATTTGATAACCCTGAAAAAAAATCAAAAAGATTAGCCGAAAATAACAATTTTATTAAACAAAAAACTGAAATTACAAAGAAATAACATACAACAACAACCAAACAAATAAAAATTGAAATACAAACTAGTTGATATTTGTTTTCCTGCAGGGTAATGGGCTAGAACCAAATTCAGTGGCGTTGAAAGGCGTTGATGTTCCTACTCCTGAGAACCAAAGCAGTCCTCAAAATCTAATTCAGGCACAAATAAATGAAGCATTTTCCCCACAAGCTCAAGAACAAAAGCCACAGCACAATGAATCATATTCTAATGGGGACTTTGAGTTTGTAAGTACATCATCGATATTATCAATATGGAATCCATAAAATATTGTCTCTTTCGTGAGACTTCAAAAAGTATTCACATACAATATTGTAAATATTGTGAGTGCGTGCGTGTGAACTGAACTATTATAGTAAATATAACAGTAAAATATACCAGTATAGTATTCAATGAGCGATAAATGTGGCCATTCTCATGAGAATAAAGTTTGTTGACGCAAGCTTAGGGTGAGCGTTGTGAATCTTTCATGGAAATAATGGCCATTTTTGGCGAGTAAAATACTAACATAATCACGACTCTGAACAGGAATATTTCAAAATAGAATTCGTTTGTGGAGGATATTCCAAATGAGAGAATACCTTTGAATTAAATAACAAGAATAAACCCAAAACAACAATTGAAATAGGTTGAATATTGAGTGGTTAAAAAACTTTACAGAATTACAGTAGATGATAATTAAACCTACTACTGAATTTGAGTCCAACATTCTAACAACTACTTCAACTACAAATTGGGGTGAGTGACATAAAGCTATTTAAGTTTCTCCAACTATTACTCTTTAAATTGAAAAATTGTCAAAAATGAATCTGTGAGTAAATCAATACTTCAAAAGCCTCAAGAAACGGTTCATTGAATGGGTGTGTGACTTCACCAGATATTCAAAATGCGTTGTCGGTTAGGAATTGCCAATAGTTTTTGGCGTTTTTGTGTGAGCGGTGTGAAAGTGTTCAATTTTTTGGTTGTTTGTTTTCATCTGAAAGTATGGAAGACAAAATAAGTCCCTTAATAGTATCATGCACTCATTCAACTCGAAATGCACCAAACAAATTGTTTGTAACTGTTACTAAAAATAAAAATGTCGAGAAACATGAACTTGTTTTTGTTGCAAGGATCATTTTGATTTATATACATCACATTCATTTCAAAGTGTAATGGACATAGACATACTCTCAAATATATCACTTATCTTTTATTTCTTATTGCTGAAAACAATTCAAATTACTGAAAGGTAAAACTGAAATCTCTGGCTCACAATCAATCCAAAAGAAGACCTTCTAGAAATACACCAGAACTGCAACACTAACACTCTTGTAGATGCCTGTTGTACCAATCAAGTTGGCATCTTCAGGAAATGAGGTGGTGAGAGGTGCATCAAGGATAGTGTTGCAGTTCTAGTGTTTGGGAGTAGTGCTTGTTTTGGCGGATAGAATTGTTTGTTGAGGTGTTTATTCATTGAGTGCAAATGAAAGGTCTAAATTGAAATAGTCAGATCAGTCACTGCGTTATATACTACTTTACCACTTTAAATTGGATTTTGTGGCGGTCCGGAGCACAAAATCAATGTTACATTTTTACATTCATCTATAAATATTCACTATATTTTGTTGAATTAGTTGGAAACAATAATATTTATCCTAACTGATACAATTTACTGCAAGATTTCCACTGAAGGGTTTACAGTAAATTGCTTCGGTGTGAAAATTGATTTTCATCAAGTATCAGCAAGTTCTATCCAATCATAAGTAATTATCAGTGTTTTAGTTAGTATTGAGTTTCTGACTTTCAGTACTTTTAGGAATGCATTTATCAAGGCTTTCAATCTTGGGACATCCTGTTGTGACTTGAACTTTTATTGTTTTACACTGTTATTTATTCTAGTTGAAGTATTTAACTTATGAAGAACTGCAACAAAGAATGAAAACTTTGGACTCTGATATGGAGAGAGAGATAGAAGAACTGCGCAAGAAATATCAAATCAAGCGACAACCCATTTTGGATGCTATGGATACAAAACGCAAAAGAACACAGAACTTTTAGAGTCACGAACTTCTTTCTGCAATGTATGGGTGCTCAAAATGTTGTTTTTATTGAAATTTTTATACCTACTTGCCATTTTCAATGTTTTATTGTTTTTTAGCTTTGTGGCCCAACAAGATATGACAAATGTTCTCTCCCTTATATTGATCTCTCTCATGTATTCTCCTGAGCCATACCAGTTTGTTGACATTGTGAATTACCATGTTCCTAGTTTGTTGTACTTAATGGGTTAATCGGCTTTTATCAACTCTGGGTTACACATATTCGTTGTAAAGTGATAATACTTTTTTAGGTGATTTATGGTTAATGAATAAAATTTTTATTATTTCAATTCAATTGGAGCTTTTACCCATGTTTTTGTATAGTTCTCTCATATAATTACTTTACTAGATTTAATCTCTGTACAATAAGTACGCTTTCTGTGCCTTTAATAAAATAAGTAGTTGTAGATTTGAGTAGGACTGTAATCATATTTTTGGATCCCAAATAAATTCTCAATTAACCATAGCTGTAATTTGTGTTGAAGGGAAAGTTGTAGAGAGATTGGCAGAAACCTTAGCACTTCGGCTACTGTTTCAAGGGTAGCGATGTGTGTTGAAAAAAAGTAATGACACTATTACAGTGGACTTACCTACTGCACGACAGAAAGCAATGTGTCTTGAGAAAGTAAAAACACTGAATTGCTATGAACTTCGGCTACTGTAAGATAGCCGGCAACGAATGCCTTCAAAAAGTAAAACAGTGAACTTCAGCTACTGATAAATAGATGGCAACGTATATCTAGAAAAGAAAAAACACTGTATTTCACTGATTTTCGGCTACTATTAGATAGATGGCACTGTATGCCTGAAAAAGTAAAAACACTCAGTTACAGTGAACTTCAGCCTCTGTTTCACAGATGGCGATGTATTCTTAAAAAAGTAAAAACAGTTTCCCACTGAGCTTCGGCTACTGTTAGATAGATGGCAATTTATGCCTTGAAAAGTAAAAACACTCAATTACAGTGAACTTCAGCTTCTGTTTCACAGATGACGATATATGTCTTAAAAAAGTAAAAACACTGTTTTTCTCTGAGCTTCGGCTACTGTTAGATAGATGGCATTGTATGCCTTGAAAAGTAAAAACACTCAATTACAGTGAACTTCAGCCTCTGTTTCACAGATGACAATATATGTCTCATAAAAGTAAAAACACTCTTTTCCACTGAACTTCAGTTACTGTTAGATAGATGGCAACAGGGCCTTCAAAAAGTAAAAACACTCAATTACAGTGAACTTCAGCCTCTGTTTCACAGATGGCGATGTATTCTTAAAAAAGTAAAAACAGTTTCCCACTGAACTTCGGTTACTGTTAGATAGATGGCAACGTATGCCTTTTAAAAGTAAAAACAATTACGGTGAACTTCAGCTTCTGTTTGACAGATGGCAGTATATGTCACAAAAAAAGTAAGAAACTGAATTGCAAAGAACATTGGTCACTGACTAATGAAGTTTTTCCCTTTTTTGAATGGGTCGTTGCGTCGGAAAATGTGCCTGATCAACCAATCTCCTCTAGTAGAATAATATTAAACATAATAATGATAATACGTACTGGTGTATTCCAGTGGAAAATCATTTTATTTCAACTACTGCGGATTTTGTATTGTTTGTACTTGATAGGAAAAAAATGTATCATTAAGATTAAAACCAGATGTGTTACCACACATCTTGAGTTTTCAGAAAAGTCGAACATTTAACAAGCTTCAAACCAAGACCTCCAACTCAAAAAAAGTTTTGCATGAACAGGGAAAATTTGAATTTTGGTTTTATATCACTGAATCCTCATGCACTCAATATTTTCACAATGACCAGCAATACAATACTCTTCTTGGCGCGAGTTCCACCAACCAATTTGGCGTCTTCTGGAAATGAAAAACTCATTGTTATTGAAAAAATCCATAACCATGATTCTCACCAACACCGTAGCAATTCCTACTAAGGAAGCTACGGTGTTAGCGAAACGTGTGTAGAAATAAAAGTGTTTGTGAAAATTGTTTAATTTTCATCATGGATACTTCGATAACACTTTTTTGGACTGATCACATCTTCATTCCAACTTCAAACAGATCAGTATAACAAGTTCAGACAATCGCACATATCTCGTGACGTCACACATGCTTTCAAACTAGGTGTCGAGAATCGTAACAGACCATTGTAATAATTTTCAAATTTTCAAAAAACATTCAACTCAAAAATGTAAAATGGCATTAGCAACTGTTTGTATTTCAAAAGAATTAGGCCATAACTGCTACAGAATCCTTATCTTTGGTTTTCTTTTCCTTTCTACTATCTTTGGCACTTTCTTCTTTCTCAACTTGGGGTACTGGATCCTCTGAAGGCACCTCAGGCAATTGTTCAGTAATAATAGCTGCCAATTCTTCTTCGACAGCAGCTTCATCTTCATCAGTCAGTTTACCACTCAATAGTTCATTTATTTCATTTTGTTTCTCTATGCCCTCTCTAGTCTCTTCTAGTATGCTTTCAATATCTTCAATATTGAGAGCATCATTCACTTTTTTTAGAGCATCATTTCCAACTTTCAAACCTTCTACAACTTGCAGTTCAACTTGGGCGAATTCTATTTCATGAGTCAATTTCTCCAAATTGTCTAATTGGTTGTCCGTTTTTGTCAGAAGCTGCTCTTGATACCTCTTTTTACGAAGAAGTAATTTGGCTCGATCTTTTTGCCCACCACTCAATAGTTTTTTGGCAATGTCTCTATCTTTGCTCAATGATAACTCAATTCTCTTTTGGTACTGTTTCAATTTATCCCTCTGTTGCTTCAACTGGAGAATCGCCTTATCTTGTTCAGTTACTCGAGATGTTTTCTTCTTCTTGCCAAATATTATCCCCATAGTAAATGCGATCTGAAAGAAAATTAGTAATGAGTATATGACATATCCAATCATAAAAAAAAACAAATCACATGAATCAACTGAAACAGGGGCAAGTACTTCTTAGACAATAACAATTTATTGGAATTTTTCTAGGTGTGCGAACTTCAGATTGGAAAAATTTCAATTGACGAGCTTACCAAGATTAAACAGGGTTGATGACGTTTTCCGTCAATTACAATATCTTACATGAAAATGAACATCCAAAACAATCACAAATAATAAATTTCATAACCTCAAATGTTCATTCATATTCTCTTTCTCTCTCTCTCTCTAATTTACATGGTCGTTGCTTCCCCTTTGAGCGCAATTGGCCAGACTCCTTCTGTTCATAGTGAACAGAAACTTCGTCTGGGGGCGCAGCTGTCTTTCACAAGGCAATGCTGCAACCCTAAGTTTTTTCATTCACTTTTCCCTAAAATAAAAAAACAATTCATTACTGGTCATCTCCTTCTCGGGAGGCTTTCAGATGAATATAACACATTATTATCGGACTGACGACCTCGTCGAAACCGTCCACATCCAGCATGGTTACTAAGGGCGCCTTCACTCCTCTCAATACGTCATTCATCCACATCCACGTGCCATCTTTGGGGGTGGTCGTTATCGGCACAACCGTCGTCTGTTGCGATAGGAGATAAAAGTACAAAATATAAAAATACAACTATAAAGATGCACAATTCGACAACCAGACAGCTTCATATATGTTGCAAAGCAACGTCATTAGTCAATTTAGGAAACGGGACCAATCTTAACCAACAAAACAAACCATTTATTCAGTAGCTACATTTGGATCTTTGTTACGAAACTGGAGTGGAGTGATTATCAAACATTCTAAGAGTTTCGAGAGGATCAAAAGAGTGGGATATTTTTTGACTGCTATAAACTGAGTTTATAAGTACTTCACATATTTCAAGAACAGCTGTACTCATTGAAGCCGGTGAAATGGCAACTGAAAACTTCGAGGCCTCAAAGCTTCTTTTCGTGGCTAGGTATTTCAGAGTTAAAGCCAATCTTTCATCAACTGGTTAACTGTTCCGCATAACCTTATTTTTCGCGTTAGAACTGGCTGGACCATTCGCAATAATTTATTGAGTGTGTTCCTCCATAAGAAAATAATTTTTATAATCACTCACTTCTTTCGTATCACTTATTACCTTCAGTAACACTAATTGTTGAATTTCACTAGTTCGGACTTCCATTGTTTACTATATAAAATGATTTGAAATCCCTGAAACAACTAAAAAAAGAAGAAGAAAATAACAATTATATTAACCAAAATAAACCTGAAGTGTAATAAAATACAAGTAAAAATAGAACAATTGAATAAATAAAAATAAAGAAATGAAAAAAGAAACTGAAAATAAAAAGTGGAGAGATTCCAAGTCACGTTAGTTCACGACGTTTCGATTGTTAGTATCTACAATCGTCTTCGGGTGATGACTGGACTGATTCCTCCGAGAGATGACTATTTATAAGTCGTTCGAGAAGGAACTAGACATCATCGAAAATGATCTTCAACGGAATGGCTACTCCAAAGCGATGGTAGAAAAGACTTTGGCTAGAAGACAGCAGGAGCCTCGCAAAGTACGAACTAGTGAAATTCATCATGAAACATTGTCAATCACCTTCAAACACTAATCGTGTTAGTAATATACTGATCTGTAACGAAATAACCACATACTCTGACACAAACCCCCGATTTGTGATTCACTGATATCAAAACAGTATTTTTTTCATTTCAAGTTGGCTAAAGTACCTTTTTCAAACTCTGTATCAGTGTTGGGGCCAGTAGGAATCGGGATCGGGATAAAAAATCAGATAAATTATTCAGATGCGTACACTGGACGTCTTTTTATTAAATATCTGTAATAAATCTTCGCATCATATGTGATTTTCTTTAATAATACTTATATCTCACAGGTACAATAAAAATAAATAACAAAAACAACCAAATTAAAATCCAATGTTTGGTAGGAATTGTGACTAAAATTTTGTTTTGAAAACAATATCGACTAGAAGCTTGTTACATTAACTCAAGTTCAGACTTGAGAACGTCTCAGAACCTACAGTAGGTAAGTAGTGCCTGAAAGCAATTTCTGAGAATCCTTTTGGCAAACGAGATACTCAACCAAAAAATAATTACAGATGGTAAATACTCATACCATTGCTTATAAGTAATAAATCACGAATGATAAAGAATGTACGGGGTTTACAACTCCTTCTCGATTTTGATGAGTTCTGCGATACCGTCGTACATCTCCTTGACAGCGTCGAACTCTGTGAGGCCCATGCGCCTCTTGTTGGAAATGTCGTAAACTCCTCCTTCTGCCTCGGTGTGTTCTCCTCGGGTTCCACGTACCTGGAGGTTGTACTTGCCGGCGATCTCCTCCAGTTTGGCCTTGTTGGCGGCCAGTTTGGGGACCTTGATATGCACCGACGCGCGGACCGTGGTGCCCAAGTTGGTTGGGCAGAAAGTCAGGAAACCGAGTCTGTCATTGTGGGAAAATGGAATACGTTTCTCGATGTCGTTGACGGCTGTGACGAGACGCCTGTAGACGGTACCCAGGTCCCCGCCCATTTGCATGGAGATGATGCGGAGATGATCTTCTTCGTTGCACCACACCAAGAAGGTTTTGGCGTCGTTGTGGAAGATGCCACGGCCGCTGGGCCAGAAGCGGCATGCGTTGGCTGCCTGCAAGAAGCGGTCGCCCTCTTTGAACAAGAAGTGGTCGTCGATGAGTTTCTGTTGGACCTCTTTGCTCATGCCGGTCAAGGGGTAGAATGTGCCCTTGAGTTCACCTTAAAAAAGACGTTCGCAGTTTCGTTAGGAGACATGATAGTAACAACAATTATGAGAAACAGTAGTCATTAGACTATCTATCATCAGTATTCAAAGTTACTTCTCAATGCGATAACTTAATTGTTATATCATGCTAAAATATCAAGTACCTATTTTTGGGAAAGAAAGTTTTTGGCTTTCTACTACTCCATCTGATACAAAAAAATGGATGAGAGAATCTTCCAAAGAAAGGAAGGAAGTAATCAATTTGAAAATAAGTAACTCTATACATGGATGTGTAGATCATGCAAAGAAGTAACTTTCAGACACAAACTGAAAGAAAGAATGTTCAGGAGGAGTTTGTGTAAATATTCGTTCTGAAAATAATGCGATTTTACGAATATGGGAGGCCTTAAAAATTACAAAGTTTTGAAAAAAGCTGATGCAATAAAATATCTACGATTTTCCATATTCATCAATTTCAATAGTACTGAAGTGTGACTGAAATGTTGTTATTTTCCGAATCCAAAGATGAGGCAAAGACAAAAAGTCCAGAATATCCGATTCATCCACAAAGGTATAGCAAGGAATATAATATTACATCAAAATAATGCAACTGAGATAATACTAAGATTTAAGTGAAAAAAAATGGGCCTGCAGAGAATATTTTTGTTATGGTAGATCAACCTGAAAGCTCCATAAACTTTTCGTAAACAGTGATTCACTTGACTGGAAAATCCAAGCTTTTGCTCAAACCACATACCAAAAAGTGTTATATTAGTTGCATATGTAATATTGTCACTTTTGGTTACTATTTTGAAAGTGAAATCATTTGAAAATACATGTCTTTTAGCTTTTTTGCCAAATACGAACCAATTGTTCTGGATAGAAAGACATATAAACTACAAACTGAGTAGAGAAAAGTATCTTCTGTATAATTCAGTGTTCATACAGAAGTATTTGTTTCGAAAGAATTTTTTTAATTGTATGATTTTCACTATACATTATCATTATAGTGAAAATCATACAATAAAGTGTATTAGTTAGTTTCAATATGGATTTTCATCAAGTATCGGCCAGTTCTAATCAATTATCTTCATACGAAAATGCAAACTGGAGACTGTTGAAATTAGGGAAGAAAACAAAAAATTATTGAATACGACTGTAGAAAAAATATGATAGCGAATGGAAAGTAAATATGTAAGTATGTACATTTTAGTTATTTTAATGAATTCATTCAATACATCATACCTTTCAATAAATAAAAAATCATGAATTCAACACATAGTATGTAAAAAATATTTGATATTCAAAATAACGAGACTTTTAGGCGTTAACGTGTTTTAAGAAATTCATTGTTCGGTGCTTGATAGTTCGTACTGGAACCTTTGACTTAAATTGAATCTATTGAAAACACTTTTCCAACACCAGAACAAAAATTAAGCGCCTCGAGAAACCGTAATTTTTGTTCTGGTCGTGGGAAAGTGTTTTCATTGGTGGTTTGATTTCATTACCGCATCGTTTTCTATGTTTTTGGACAATTTCAAGTGTTATTTCATATGTAGGATTTCTCAACGAAGAATTTAGTTTTTTTTATTTCCTGGATTTTTGCCAAATAGTACCATCTCTTTGAGACAAAATACTGAAAACTGTCCTTTTGTTGAACACATACTGTATCAAAAAAATATCGCCGCATTTACCTTCCAGTCCTGAAAGAGTGCTGGAAACTTTCTGTTCCATTTCTTTGTATTGTTCTTCGGTCAAACAGGGGTTGAATGGGTATCCTTCCATGGAGCGTCCACATCTCACACGGGTGGAAACAATGAATTCACCAGCAGGGTCTAGATTTCCAAAAACGCTGACATCTCCCCAGTTCTTTGGGGGATGCTTGTCGGTTTTCTTGAATCCACCATGGTAGTCTTCGATGATGGGGTCGAATAAGTCGGCAAAGACGGTGTAAGCTTCTGCGTCGGGGGCATAGATACCAACTCCAGAGTCGTGATTTTCCAAACCTGAAGAAACAAAGATTGGGAGAAAAATCAATATGGTTGAATTAGATATTTGGACAGAATAACTGGTAAATGTTCATCTTGAGAAAATATAATGAAGCCAGTTATATACTATACTTATAAATAATAATCTAGGCATCGAAATGAAAGTAAATCTTCTTGAATTCAGGAAAATCAAGAGGAATGGGTAGTGAATTTGTTTCCAAATATAAATATGAAATATTTCTCTCATTCTGGAACAACTGCCTACTGGAGTGGAGGTCTACGTCTGGAATAACTTATACTCAAAGCCAAGATTTCCGTCGTAAGGAACAATATACCAAGTATATAATAATGATAATTATCGTTTTCATTGACTAAAATACTACATATGAAGAAATCAAGACAATTTTATTAAATTCGCGGATTTCTACACTTCATTTCAATTGCTCTATAACTGGGGAGTCTCTTAATCCATCTAAACAATGTTAAAAGTTTGTCATTGACGTTTTCCTTTACATATTTTTCACTTACCAGACTGGATTACATCAAGGAGTGTAGATCCAAAAGTAGGTGTTTTCTTGACTTTCAGTTGATCAAAGATTTCTTGCGTCAAATGTTTCTTCAAAAGCGATTTTGAGTCGGATTCCTTCAGTTTTTTGAATCCAGATTCAAGTTTTTCCAAGACTTGGGCATCGACCATGGTGGCTCTTCTGTAATTCACAAAAAACGATTCATAAAAGATGTGTTTGTCATGATCCAGAAATATCAGGAAACGGGACACATCAACCCTTGAAGCAGAACAATTGAAAGCTTTTTTCTGATTGGAAGGAAACAAAAGACACCCTCATGATTCAGAAATATCTTCATCTATTTTCAGTTTTTCTAACGAAAGGTTCCACATATAAAAGTAGGGGTGTTTTGAAATATGTTTACAATTTTCTGATACGAGGGACACTCAAAATGTGTACGAAATTGTATTTCAAATTATTGATCGTACGAAAATGGTAAAACAGTATCCCTTTTCCAGACATCAACCCACAAAAGCATATCAGGCGCAGCATAATTCGCATGTTCACATCCAGTTGTTTTGGTATCCACATTTTCTTTGATGACATGGTTTTATATTGTTAGAGACAGCCGAGTTAAATATTGTTGAAGGGATATCTTTAGCACTGTACCAAATGAATACGTCTCTCAACCCTACAGTCTCAGATAAATCGCAAATATTCGATTTGTTCGGGAGATTTTTGAATACTCGTGCATATTGAATATATTCTATTTATTGAGTTCAAAACATTTTTCTCATATTATAGATCCTACACTAAGTTTACCATGACTGTCCCTTGTATGACTAGAAACAGTAACATGCAATAATATGGAGTAGTTACTAAAGATCAGTTTGGAGGATCAATTACATTATTTCATAATACCGATATATATATTTCCAATCTCAAAACAACAATATTTCCACTCATTTTGAAAGCAATAATGCTTCTAGGTTCGTCTTGTTGGAAACTGAAGTAAACAATGATCTACTACCAATTCGTGAGTTGAAAATATTGAATTCATCATATTCCTTCGAATACCCCTTAGTACCCCCAAAGAGATCTGTAATTTTCTCATAAATTATGAGACGAAAAATGTTTTCATGCTGCAAAGAAATGAACCATCTATCTCGTATTCGGTCTTGCTGGTGGTTACGATTTGTTTGCAAGTATTATACAAGGAAGATAGTATTAAATAGAGGACATTTATATATTCGAACAACATATGGAAACACTTATCAACATCGAACAAACAATTTACCTTTTAGCGATAGCTTTCGTTCGACCATACTTTTCCAATTTTTTGGGTTCGAATGTTTGGTAATGTTCGTCTTGATCATCTAGAAAGCTATGGAAACCCATAAATGATTTAGAAATTTAGAATCACTAATAACTCGAAATGGCGACCGATACGATTTTTTTGAGAAAATTTTCATAAAATAGTTTCGTCATTCTATATTTAGTGATTTCCAAATCTTGTTAGGAAATGACTCAAATTCAATATCAACTGTTCGTCATCAAAAATTCATTGTGGGAAATTATGACAAGTCATGCTCGTGATATTTCGAATTATTGATTCTATGCACAGACTCGTAAATAAAATCAATAAAAGGGGTATAGCGATTTTGACAGAACAACTATGTCCAATCTATAATAAAAATATGATCAGTCATATACTTATTTCTATATCGATAACAATAGAGTTATTTTCAGAAACCACCAGGTAATTTTGAAGATACGACATTGAAACTTGATTCGCTTTTGTACCGGCGAGCCACAAAATATTCACAATAAAAAGCCAATAATCCATAAGTTTTTCAGCGAAGTTTAATATGATTCAGAACAGGAACAGTTTATAATGGTTGTAAAAAAGAAGTCTTCAAAACTAAAGCAATATGTTTTTTCATGATCCATAGTAAAAAGATGAGTATAGTCGAAATACTCGATTCTACGCTAGGAATCACTCTTTAGAAGGTAGGACTCCGTTAATCCTTTCAGATTCAGAGGGTTTCCTAGGAAGAATTTGACGTCTATTAGAAACTTGGTAAAGGCTTCGAGAGACAGTTTTTGGTTCTGGTGTGGAAAAAGTGTTTCTAATAAATTCAGAGGGTTATCGTTCGTAAAGAAACTAAAAATGAAAATCCTGTCCTACTATTTCTAATGAGAATATTCCAGATGAATCCTATTGGATGAAGCAACCATCACTATTGTCCCAAAATTTTTAAAATTACCTTCATTTTCAAATAAATTGTCAAGGAAAATGATGAAGCGGTAAATATTCCTCCTACTATTAGATTGATGAAATGTAAAGAAGCTGTTTCAAAGCATACCACAAAATGGTTAATTTCGTATCTTCAAAACCACACGGTATGTTTAATCCGTTGATAATAAACGCATTATATTCACAAACCATCTTCATCCACTACTTTTTTTTTAACATATTTTAGTATTTACTTTATATACTGTGCGATTCATAAGTGAAGGATGAATTCTATTTAATTAACATTCCACGGCAAAACCTCAATTCAAGTTGATTTTATTTCTTAAGTGACACTTTCGAATATTATTCATCCTTCAATCCCCTTAGAGTGATGGTCCTCCTTTATAATTTTCAAATAGAACCGTGCGAAATGATCCGTATTTATTGAAATTATTCCTTTTAGTGATGGAATAGACAACAAACAGAAATTTATATACAAAAATTCATGAAATCCACATTGAATTGTTTCCAATGCACTTTTAGGAGATGAAGTAGATAGTCTACCTCATCTCCTGAAGATGTCAACTTGGTTAATGAAACGCGCATCAAGAATAGCATAGCAATTTTGTTCTACCTTTATTTCTTCTTAGATGAATCGTTGAAATTGAGTGGCCTACCCGTTATCCCGATTTGACTCCGCTTGACTATTTTACGAGTTTTTAAAAACTCAGATGCTTCTAATAACAGAGCAAATGACAGAATCAGGCGAGAAGTTTGTTGAAACAGCTTGGAAACGGTACAAAATGTTTTGAGGAAATTTCGACAACACCTCTTTTATTGCCAAAAAGCTACAGACACCTTGTTTGAACAATTGATTGAATGTTTTTTTTTTTGTTCAATTACTGAATGTGAAAATGTAATCTTTTTCCATAATAGAGTCAGAGAAGTGAAAAAATGTTTTAATATTGGTATATAAACTTTTTTGAATGAGCTTTCACATGCAACTCCGTTCTATTTGAGAATTTCAAAGCGGGTGATGTCACAAAACATTGACGTGTCTCATAACTTTACTCATGAATTATGAATCGAAGAAAATTGATTTATCCTTCACCTATAGACCTATGGAGTCCTTCAGGTAGAGGTTTTCTATTATATTTCCCAAGAACGTTACTTTTCAGTTGTGCATATTTCGATTTAAAAAAAAACGGAAAACCTCCATTTTGTGGGAAAACGTAGGTAAGTGCATTCAGTGTCGAATGACAATTCTTCGAAAAATTTATTCAATTCAAATGTTTTTGTAATTTAAATGACGTCTCTCGAGTCAAATGTGCATCCGACATACAATTACATAAAAGTGCAAGCAGAATACTCACAAACATATAACATTGAACTCAAAAGGAGCTCTGGCCAGACACAAACGTTGGTGAGAACAAACAGATTATGTATAAAATTGGGGAAGTGCTACATAATTCATTGACAATACAATCTCAAGGAGTTTGCAGGAAAATGGTTGACTAAAGATCACACTCTTGACTCGAGGCACAGGAAAGGTAGGCCACGATAGAAAAAGCTTCTCTACATTCGATACTCGTATAAGATATCGCAACGCCTACAAAGTATGGGGGAACAAATTTCTGAATGCAACTTACCGCCCTTTTCTGTATACCCGACTCCTCTAACACAAAGGTTGAATACGAGAATTCACAGAGGAGCGGAAACCACAATAAATAGCAAATAAATGGTAAACAATGCGTACTTGATAGAGTAGAGAGTATAAGACAAAAAGCGCCGACACAAATCCAGGCTCGTCCCACAGCCACACCGTGCTATTGACCCATGCATAGACATCAACAGGATTACAGGAATAGTACAAACCCCGTATCATCGTCCTGTGTGTGTTTTTTAGCATTTTCCTTAGACGCACAACCTCCCATTTTTCAATCTAGTGTCTAGCTAAATAAAAAAACACTTTAGCACTATAACTAAATGGATGGAGAGACTTTTCGGCATGAGTGTGTCAGGCGTTCGTTTTCAGCCGTCTTCAGACCTTCGTTAACGCCTGCCCTCCAACTCCCGGTTGCGAAACACCGACTACCGACTGCAGCTTTCAAATATCGGAGTTAATGCGACGGGGCGCAGTTTCACAAAAATCGATAGCAGACGCATTTTACACACATCAACGCCAATCGAAGTGCGTGTCTTGTGACCGGCGCATCCACCAGAATCTCAAATCGGGCTACATTCGTTTATTCGCAAAAATAATTATTCTCACTGCACGAAGCTGTATTGAAATAAAAACATGCGACTGAGTGATGTTCACCGCTCATTCTTTATCGAAATTCTTATAAATATACATTTTCGAGTTTTTTTTTCAATTATTTACACAAAAAAAACTTGCTTGTGGTAAAAAATCCAAGGACAGTTCTAATATTTTTCCAGAAATTATGAGAACTTGATTTTCCTTTTTAAAAACCGTATCCGAAGACAGCGCAGTCAAAAAATATAAATCCTCTGGTAAAACTATCACATTTTTTGCTAACTATAATATGACTTCACTTTATGCAAAACATCTTGTTATTTGAGTTTTTTATTGAAAATAATATTTCCAGTTTCAACCTCGAATATTTCATTGGTTCATAACAATGAAACATTTATGAGAATATCATGCCTTTATTAGAACTCAAGAAAAACATATTGACAATAAGTGCTCGAAATGTCTCCCTCTCGCTCAAATATTTCATATTTCTTGCACCACATTATGAATTCACTTTCCATCATAACATTCTCGTTCATAGACACGTTGTTTCATGTAGCTTTCAGGAATTCATGAAGATTCAAATCTGGGGACCGCAGTGGCTAAGAGTTTCTTCTACCCCTTTCTATCTATCATCTTTAATAGGTATTTGGATGGATCGTTTTGCAAAAATTTCAAGAAGTTTTGTCCGTATAATCATCAGTTGATTCTATATTAATTATACCAGCCCACAAGTTAATAGCAAGCAGATAGGGTAAATGGGTAATTGTGAATATGTTGAATATTCCTGTGTTCGTCAAGTTTCATAAATTTATCCGTCTATAAAATCGAAAGGAACAAGAGAAATATTTTCATTGACTGTCTTGAACTATTGTAACTGTTCGAAGTTTTGAAAACCGTGAAATATTAACAAACATATTGCAAATGAAAAACTGAATTCCTGCTATTTACTCCTTTGAAAATTTATATGAACTTTCTTGTCAGAAATTAATTCTTCTACCACCTTCTTCTGTTCGGATCATTACTTATTAGATACCCTGTATATTTTAGAAATACTGACAATACTACATTTTCTGATTATCTGCAAATACCAACCCAAAATAAAGTATTTAACAACTCAAGTTCGTGGCAGAGAGAACTATCAGAAAAGTAATCGAACAACCAATAAGTATCCCTTCTCATTCGAAACATTTGATGAAATTGAAGTTCAGAAAATGTTAAACGGATTCAAAATGAATTCCCAATAGTCAACGTCTGCTTAGAAGACTGAGTTTTTCCCGACAGTTAAAAAGAAGCTATATTTTGCCTGTATAAAAAAATAATCCTGAAAGATTCATGTTTCTGAAATCCATTACTATCCCGTTAGCAATGTTCAAGTTACTATAGAAAGTAGAAGAAAACCTATTCGCGTTCTATTCAGCTTTATTTCAGGTTAGTATGGAAAAGGGCCAAATCGTGTACATTCAATATAAATATATCAAGTTTGAAAAAGAAACTAAGCAGGTAGCAATGAAAGGAAAAAACATACTTTCAAGTTATATAGACAAACATTAATGTACAATTTCAGTTGTAAAAGAAGGTGTGCCAATTATGACTACGAGTATAAATTTTTCTAATTATGTTGAATATTATTATTATTACGCCTTGGTCAAAGAAGAAACGGCCTGGTATAAGTTTGAAGATAGTCGTGTCACGAAGTGTTCTGGTGATGCATTGAATTTATTGGAGCCTCTGGAGACACCCTACATTTTGTTTCAAAAGAGAGAGGACATTGTTAGATCAAGATCTTCAGATGATGTGGTGCTGCAGGTTTTTCCGGGTTTTCCTGCAGCTGAAAAAGCAAATGCGCCACTGGAATCAATGAAGTCGCCCCGGAGCGCCAATGAATTTTTATTGTTGTATTTATTTTATTTTTATCGTTGTTTTAACATATTGTAATAATTTTACAACTTCATGCAATAAAATCATATAATAGCTCTTTCATCCTCTGCATTATAGAAAACCGAAAAATATTTCAGAGTTAATTTCAAAGTTGCAACCTCATTTTGCTCTAATAAGTTTCTCAGAACCACTAGTTTCAATAACAGTAGGCGTTGATTCCGCCCTCAAATACCAGACCCTTGTTTTCAGATGATTAGCTTCTCTGCCCTATTTGTGTATGAATTAGTGTAATTCCTATAATTTCCATGAACTAAAATTAGAACAGCTCTTTCATTTGGTGTCCGGATTTCATTTGAAATTATAATTAGCCCTATTTCGAACGCCAACTCAAATGGCATAATATATCAGACCAAAGAGAATTTTCCATTTTCAGTTTGCGCAAAGTTGTTTACCAACACAGCTTTCAATTAGTTTTCGCATAATTACTAGAAACAAAGTCTCGGTTTTATATAAATATTTCGAAAATACGTTTTGTCGTCAACAGAGGTAGATTCTCTTTGTGAATGAGAGTACTAGAAAAAATCAGTTTTTTTCAATTAATAGTACTGATTTCACGGAGTTCTATTTGAATTCGAAACTGTTCTTTTTTCAAGGCAATAATTAGGTCTGAAGGGATGCCGAAACGAACATCTTGAAGTCGGAAACATTTCATTCGTATGGGTGATATAGATATTGACATGCTGATTGTGAAATAATTTTGTAGGAGATTGAGGAGTGAGTCTCATCAAAAAATTATTTCAAATATTACCATTTCCCATGCAAAAGTGTTTCAAAAAATCCAAATAGTTACTTTCACTTTATAACGATCGAGTTGTTTCAGCAAATGCTATGCTTTGGATTTTTTTAAATGTATTTATATATATTTTTGCAAATAAAAATACTTATTCTCCATTAATTTCATATGTGTGTTTTAAATTACCCCAGGAAAACTCTGATTTCCATTAATTTGTATGCTGCCCTCGCGTCATATGGTATATTGAACAATTTTCACTAATGAAATTTTTATTCTAGGCGCCTAGTAGGTACCTATTTTTATTAATTTTGAACAATTGAAATATTGATGATAGATGCAGTTTTCTGAAGCCTGCAAAAAGGGAAACTTACTCGTATGTCAACTCTAAACAATGACAATTGAAAACACCCTAATAAATATTAATATATTACACAGAGATATGAAGCAGTTATGAAACGAACATAATCAAGTCATGCATTACATAGTTGATGTCACTTTTCCAAGTACCTTGAAAATGTTTGTTTTATATGTAAACTTTCCATGCACATTTCCTAATTACAACTGCATACTAGATTGTTTACGTTTAAGTGAGTTATTTGGCATGATTCATTTCTTTAGCTACATTTAAAATTACTATGACAATAAAACAATGAAAGCCAAAAGATGTGTATAGCTCAGTGCAAAAATATTATTATCGATGGAATTGCGCAATCTTAAGTAACTGTGTTAAATTGTGTTAATATTTGTATTTATGTTGAAAATTTTTTCATCAATCATGCCCCCACCTCAATCATACATCGGTTTGGACTTATCCTGTCTATCATGATTTTGAAAATCCTTCCAACTCTGAAATATATAGAAACACTGGGATTTTCCGCAAAAACCGCACGAAGTCAATTCACGTGTGTAGAAAGAGGTGGCGATTAGCTCGGAGCATTCGCCAAATATTCGAATTTACTGAAACACTCCTAGAAGTCTAATTTTAATTGACTTGGAGATACCACAACTCGTTAATTAGCTTCCGAATCGAATCAGTTAGAATGCAGTGGGGACTATTTTATTATATCAACAGTCCACTATCATTTTCATCTAGTTAATTTTGATTAAAATAAGATTGAACCCAAATCAACTGTATATAATATTTATGGCATCTATGGCTTTCACGTTTTTATCATAAAGCACACTTGAATTTTCAAAAAGTGAATGTGTGCAAAAACTGTACAATTGAAATCGATATTTTGTGAGGAATAGAAAATAAATTTTTGAGAAATACTCTAAAACTATACCAACTGTCGAAGACATAATTTTCTTCGTTACTCTCCACTATGACTCAACATGTGACACATGTTATGATCAGTGATGAAATTATCTCTCCTATATTCATGTATGACTTGATTATCGATAATCATTTCAAAATTGATCTTTGCTTATCTTCCGATTATCAATATTCAAATTGTTTTATTACGTTTAATGTACTGATAAAAATGAAGGACATAATTCTATCGCCTAGCAACAATTGGAATTACACAATATACTTTGAAGTATGATTTCGCTGGATAATAGAGTCATCTGATAGGAGTTTCGCACTAATCATTCGAACCGATGGGTGCGATTTCATTTCATTGATCCATGTTACCAAAGTGTAATTGAATTATCATAGTCTAAGATAGTAACCGTTATTATGATTGAAAGTTATTCGTATACTTCAGTTGTAGCAATCATTATTATTATAATCTAGTGCAGAACATTGAACCAAGCATTCCAAAAAAATTTTGAGACCACCTACATAAACTCCTGGATTCTATTTTTGACTTTCGCATGTAGCTGTGTAACTTAAAGTAATCCTTCACTTGGAATTGTGCCAGGTGTTCTGTATAATCGTGGATACGACTTACAGTCAACTCGCAACCTATTATAATCGATTAGGAACATTTTTGATTTTTCGTTTCCATGCAACAAAAATAATTTCATGAAATGTTGGCATCGGAATTTCAAGAAATTCAATCATCCTTTTCTTCTCATTTTGTTAATTTTGTTCACGGATAGAACACGAACCCATTTGGCTTTCAATACTGAAATGATGTACCCAGCCAAAATGTATTACATCACTCCTAGAATGTTACATCAATGAATTATTAGCATAGGTCAATCGCTACAAAGCTATTTCCCACCACGCACAGGCTAATCAATAGTTGTTACGATTATCCTGCATCCTGAAAACGTGCCATTCAGTACCTTCCATGGTTTATTGAAAGGGTTCAGTAAATTGAAATGCTATTAATTATATTGAAAATCCGACATTGTGATGGGTGATGTCAATTAATTATGAAAACGAAGTTGATTGTTCATCGGAGCTTTTGTGTTGAACTCTCGCTACAAACACTATAATAGGTTTTATTTGAAATAAATATTAGTTGACAGCATTCACCAATTTTAGTACAATGATGATCCAGAAACCAAAGAGTGTTTTTATGCCTGAAGTTTCGTCTACGACTGCGGCAGACATTATGAAAGGCGATGACGAAACGTCAGATATAAAATTTTGCGGATCACGGCCAACAAACCCAGAAAAAAGCATCGGCATAACCAGAAACCAGTAAAATATCAACCTGTCTTTACAGTTACACTGAAGAGCAACTTGATTTAAATTAACTTGGGAGTTGAAGTTTCTTAATAATTGTAAAAAACTCTATCATCATGGATACAGTTGAATTTTAACGTTGCAAATGAGTGGGACAACTACATATAGAAATTGATTGGAATTTTGTTTTCACAAAAATACAAAACAAAAGCCTCAGCCAGAAGATTCAATAAAAACATTTTTCGATATGACACTATTTGTGATCATAGATTGAAGTTGTATGTTCCAGTGACCCTTTTAGGGGATTTTCCAACTGAATATCCGAAACCGAACAACATTTGTAGAAGATGTCTCTTATTATGATGACACCGTGATATGGATGAATGACACCGTGTCTCGATAATTAAAGAAACAACAGCCTCACGATAATACATTTTTTCATGCAAATATTATTGAATCAATATCTTATATTTCAAAAAGAAATCAGCCAAGGCTGACTGAAAATGATTTTTCAAAAGTATCGCAAACCTTCCGGTATACATTACATAATCATGCAGTTTGTAACCTTCAAAGTCCTTCATGAAAGCTATGAGTGTGATGATAAATATTTCGCGGAAAAAATTAGCAGTCATTACCTACTTATATTTTTTATGAGTGTAATTCTAAAGTTGCCCATCATTTGCACATTATATCTTCCCTGTGACACTCACATTTCTTTTAACCACCATAAGTGCACCTATTTGACTCAATTGAGTAACTGAATCATCAATAAAAAGCCTATTGAATAATTGTATGCAGTTTCCGTTGAATGAAGCTCAAGAGGAATTTACGACGATTCATATCCTTATTACGTAACGCAAGTTTCGATTAGGCAGCCTCAATTTTGACTGGATGGTATTTGGAAAGCTCATGCGATGTTGTATTATATTCCAGACGAGTCGTAAACGATGGAAATTAATACTTTGTAACATGCAAGCCGGTCAATTTTTTTTGGAAAAATAATATAATACCTACACAGATATTTCGAGTCAGGATTTAAAAAAAATATTCTTGCGTTATGTCCAGAGTCGTAAAATGTCCACTGGGCAACTTCAGAATTTTTTTGAAAAGTCACAAGCATTAGAAAACCGCTGAAAACGCACTCACTGAAAGCTTCAGGCTTTTACATAAAAAAATAAAATATCTACCTTTTGGTTGCGTCCTCTGATCTGGTTCACACTCCACACAGTATGAATCAACTGTGAGTTTGAAAACTCTGCTCCCTATGTAGAAGAGATCCTGCTATCAACCCCCACTTTCGTGACGTCACATTCAAAATACCCAATCGCATTATTGTACGTATCGCTCAAAAATTGAAATAATCTGTCGCTCTTGCTTGGGAAAATGGTTATTTTCGCAAAAACCGGCGCACCTCGATTTCTAACTTTCAAGTGCACTTTTGTTATCTGAAATAGATTTCGCGGATTGCCGGGCATGCGGCTGGGTGTTCCCATCTTTTCATTCACGCGAATTCGTGCAGTGGCCGATTGCTGGAAAATCGACTGTGACAAATGAATATGTCCTCGTGTTTTTCGAATCGATCAAGAACTCCTTTGATACAGGGAGAATATCGATTTTGCATCGGAACATTCGCACGACTCAGAGTTGTAATCCGTTTGACCTCGCTTGTGAATTCTGACGGTGGAAAAAGTTTCAGTTGTTTCAGGTTTCAGGATATCGATCCGATGAAAAGTTTCGTTCAAGGAGAATGTTACGTAAAACAGCAGGAGTTCATGTTATACGGATAATCCATACAGTGACTTGTTTCTTGGAGTTCACCAATGTTAAAAAAGCAGCAGACTTACTTCATCCTCGGGAAATTTCAATTTTTCACGAATTGTTTACCCACAATCGTAACACAGTTATCCAAGACAGTATTTGTTCATATTCGAATTCATTATTACTTCTGAAACACCAATAACTAGACAAACATGCTGAATAATAGTAAATATATATCAGAAAAAACATTAAAAACACCAAAACATTGGCCTCAATCAAAAATAACATCCATTTCATTTAAATTGATGGATGTAGCCGTTACTACGTGCGGTAGGAGATCATTGACAAAAATGAGAAATTAATTTTTCTGTTCAAACTATTTATTGTATCAGTTTGAAAATTTTCTTATAGACGAAACTGCAGTAACGTTATTTACAAATATTCAATTTTTGAAGATATTCGGAATGTGGTATCTCAATGAATGGTGTCTGGTTTTATTACCACCGTCAATCCTTATTGCAATATTACTTTTTTTATATTTGAATATATTCACAGGAGTTTCACATTATAATCCGAAAAAAAGCTCAGCTTAGCCATTGTAGAAATGCTTTCAAATTGAAAGAAGAAAATTAGACAAAATCGTAACAAAAAATATCATAATCCTACTATTATTATTAAAATTATTAAATATGAGAAATCATCCAATCAATCTCATGGTAAATATCAAATATTAATGTGGAATATTCAATTATATTTAACTGCTGAATTAATTGAATATTTATCCTACTAATTGATATACATAGTATATTATAGCCAAAGAAGATCACGGCAATACCAACCAAAACATTGACGCCAGCCGTGAAAGCCTATATTCCGATATGATATTCAATTGATATTGATCTCATTGATTCATATTTGAACTTTTGAAATCATATATTCATTAGAACTCCTCATACGAATGTATGAATCGAATTATATGAAAATTTTCACATATATTCAGTTGGCATATTTGAAGACTGGTTGTAAATCAAATTAACTAAAAGAACAATATGTTCAGGCCAGTCTCAACACCCTACACAGTAGGTTAATGGACTGACACCTATCAGAGATCAACTATTCCCCTGGCTAATACAACGAAGGGCGTTGGATTATATCCGACAAATTTCAGTGCAGGATTCTTCACTGAAGTATTTCCTGCATATGCTGTTGGCGATACAACCGCTGGAATATTTTTGATGATAGACACTACCTTGCACTGACGAGTGGCCAAACTGTCCGAAACCAGTTTGCAAGTGTGTTCCAATAATTGAAAATCTATTGCGGCAGTTGTATCGCCAACAGCATATGCAGGAATAACTTCTGTGAAGAATCCTGCACTGACACCTGTCGGATATAAACCAACGCCCTTCGTGGTATTAGCCAAGGGAATAGTTGTTCTCTGATAGGTGTCAGTCTGTTAACCTAGATTGTAGGTGATGTAGGAGATTTGAGAGTGGTCTGAGCAAATTGTTCTTTCAGTTAATTTTATATGAAAATTGATGCATACAAAATATTGGTGAATAAATTGGGTTTGAAGGTTGTTTCCACAGAAAAGAGACAGGTATATAGGAATTGAAAAGTCCCAGCTATTCGATTCAACTAGCTAGAAAGTTTTCGAATAGAATATACAGAATAAACCGACAATGCGGCTTATTCAATGAAAAATTGACTCTAAAATGTCCATAATAAACTTTGTTTTATGAGATCACATTTTATTAGCGTCAATATATCCTAATACAAAGTTAAATGAAAATAATTATCATAGACAAACAGTTTGAAATTACTTTCGAGTATAATTTTGAATATAACATCAGTCAAATTGAGGTGGTAAAATCATGATTGAAAAGTGAAATGCTTTCTTACAAAATAATTTGTAATTGATATGCTATTTATCTTGAAAAAAACTGAAATTAAAACGAAATAATGATTGTTTCATTTGCAATAATTACTTTAATGGCATACCAAGAATATAAATAACGAAGCGCTATCGAGTGAACAATTGTCATTGTCATTTTACATTGAATACGTCATGTCCTAACTCGTATTTATCAGATATTTTTGTGGCACGTCAGTTAAAGCAAAATTATTCACAGGAACTGAAAGAGGAACCCCAGATATAGAAAAGTCTAATCTTTCTTTAAAATTCTAGTACATGCTTTGAATATTCAATAAATCCAGACGTCAAACTAGCGAAACCAATTTAACCTTTTTCACTTTGAAGTTCTGGTGCCATTAGCTCCAGTTTCTCCAAAAACAAACTGTATGGAGGTGTTATAATGATTAAAAAATATCTCAAAATTCACGAGAGGTCAGTTTAAAACATATCCTCGTTTTATAGATTCCCTATCAAAAAAATACTTTGTTGTTGAAATTAATTGAACTGGTCTATTGTTCAGGAATGTTTGTCAGTGTCAATGTCATTAAATAGAATGTTGATAATTCATCACTTCTACTTCCAACGGAATTTATTTATTATAATAGAGTTTTTCCTCGTTATCTACTTCTCAGATTGCCGTTAAAGGGAGACATTAATAACTTTTCTAATGAGCTGATATACCGTCGATCTCATTTGAAATTCCGAACGATTTTTTCCTGTACCCTTTTTGAAAATACGGTCTTGTTTCGTTTTCCGTGACCTACCCTGTATATTATAATAAATTTATTTATAGCATAGTGTACATGTAGAATGTAAGGAGTTGGGACCTCCAGTACACCTTCCGAGAAATCACAGTTCAATTGTCGTTGATATAATTTGATAAATTGCAACAATATAATTACTAAATGGTTATATTGTGGTATTCGTCATTGTCTGTATTTCCAGACGTAGAAACACAATTTTAATATTCGTTGAAAATCGCGGTGGAGGTGGCATCCGATTGTTTTCCCGCAACGCTCATCCGTGCTGAAAATCACGTACTTCGTACGCACTTGTTTCAAACATAAATGAAGTGTTAAATTGAATATGCTGGCTATAAAAACTTACATATGAACAGAATAACTCCGCTTTTTGTTTTCATTTTCATTGCTTTTTTTCTGTGCTCACACAAACTATTAGAAACAGTCATAAATATGCAATGTGTGTTTCCACAGAGCTAGTTTTGAATTACCGCTCATGAAATGATCAATAGAACTCAATTACGTAACGTAACTGCGTCACGATATTTCTATTGAAAATTCGGACCCTAAGACAAAGCTTTAGTGCCAGCGTGTATCAGAATACTGCTAATAATTGAAAGAATGTAATGAGTGAGTATACAAAAAATACACAACTTGAAAGTTGTCTAGCTTGTTCAATTTGAACGAAAAACGAATTGTTTTCAGGCATGGATATATAATTTGGTTCAAGAAAATATTACTATTGCCTACTTATTTGCCTACTGTTTGGAACCTTTGGAATCTACAGTAATGATTATTACTGGAGTTTTTCCCAACACCAAACCGTTATTTTTAACACCTCGACACGTGTTTCGATCACCAAATGATCATCTTCAAAAGGAAGATCAAACTAGTTTGATATTACTTTGGTGTTGGTATAGAACTCCAGTGATATTTATTTATTTTATTTATTTATTTATTTGTAATACAATACTCTACAGGACATAGCCCAATTACAGAACAGGAAATAACAGAATCTGGAACATATTCTAGGAATGCAAATATTAAACTTTTCCAGTAATGTTGGGCAGTCAACTATGCTTTTGATAATTTTATAGGTTAGTGCAACACTATAATATTCACGCCTTTTTACGAGACTGCAAAAGTTATACTTTTGTAGCAATTCAGAGTGGGTTGTTCCTATTGGAGGATAAATGCCATCGGTTTTTAGGCTTAGCAGTTTTAAAAATCGTCGTCGAATTGCTTCTATTCTATCAATGTGATATTAATAAAAGGGACTCCATACAACTGACGCGTATTCTAACTTTGATCTTATGAAAGCATAGAATAAAGTTTTTAAGGTCGAAGTTTCTTTGAAATCACTACTGTTACGTGCAATTAATCCGTACAAACGACAGGAGGAGGTTACAACATTATCGATATGTCTATTAAATGATAGTGCAGTGTCAAATGTGAAGCCAAGATCAGTAAATGTTTCTGGTCTCACCAGGGAAACGTTTTCTATTGAATAATCAAAGATCAAGATATTCGTTTTCAAACTGTAGGACATGACCTTACATTTATCCGGGTTCAGCGACAAGTTATTTCGATAACACCATTCTACAACCCGTCCTACGTTTGCTGAGAGGTTCACACAATCATCTATGTTCTCAATGAGGCAGTATAGTTTTAGATCATCGGCATATAAAAGGAATTACATATCTATAACATCTGCAATATCATTAATGAATATATTGAAGAGCAACGGTCCCAGATTTTAACCTTCTGGAACACTGGAAGAAGCACTATATTCGGTAGATTTGAAACCATTGAGCTGAACATATTGTATTTGATCTCGTAGATAGG